CAACTTCTACGGAAGTCTCATCGATCGATTACACAGGGTGTGTATCGATCGATATGTATCTCTTATGTCGGATCTTCATAGTCATCTTGGAAAATTCTTCTTTAAGCACCAAAAGGCACCTAAATCATCACTTTACCACAAAATGCTCCTGAACCTGAAAACATACCTGATAGACTCCAAAACATAGATAATTATAATAAAAACATATAGAAAATATGACCAAAAGCGGTTCAAAATCATGGTATATCAGTAGTACTGCGGCTTGAGCTCAAAATCTTCTCTCTGAATAGCAGGAGGGAGGATGGCTGATAGGTTTGAATAGAACTGATTGGGGCGGTTGAAGTCGGCCAAAGTTCTGGTCTCTTCTACAGGTTGAATGATGCCTGTGGGTGCAGTCTCTTCTTCAGTATATCTCCTTCTGATCATTCAGCTTCTAACCTGCTGCATTTCACAGGTGACCATCTTGATCACACAGGTCTCCATTCTCATCGGGTATGAGAATCATAGGCGCTACCATGTCTCGCCGGTTAGTATCGATCGATGTAAGGTGTGGTGTATCGATCGATGTCAAGTGAAGGGTATCGGTCGAAGAACGGTTGTTGATGTCGATCGATGAGGTGATTAAGGTATTGGTTGACGAACGGTTGTTGATCGTCGGTGGAAAGGGCGTATCGGTCGTTACGATGGTATTGGTATCGATCGATGCGGAGCGTATGTGTTTGCGGTTACTACGCTCTAGGTTGTTGGGATCTTCTGAGTACAAAAGTTGCTTGTTCTTGTTGCTTCTAGTACCGCTGGGCATGTACCTGAAAGAGACAAAAAGAAAAAGAAAAAATTTTGTGTCAAAAGATGGAAAAATAAAAAGTAACAAATAACCTAGACTGAATCAGATTAAATCTAATAGTGATCTTAGTTCCCCGGCAACGGCGCCTAATTTGATGTCACTCAAATGTTTAACCTAAGGAGTGATTTACTCTCTCAAATAAGAGGTTCAATCGTAGTACTTAGGGATCGAATCCACAAGCAACTAGAGTCACAAAAGATATAATCCTAAGTGATTAAGCTAGGTTGAAAAAGGTTTAAAACAGTAAATAAAATAAGTAGCAATGGTAAGTTGCTAAGAAAATAGGTTTTGGTTTGAAAACAATGAAAAGAAATAGTTAGATTCAAGGTTACTATTCAGAAAATCGGGATTATAAATCTAAGGATGTCTAAACGAATGGCTTGCAAATATATGAGAACTTTAACCCTTAAACAAATCTATAGCTGTCGCTATCAGACTCGTCCATTGATCTGATTTCCGACTGCATCGATCGATGTTGCTATCGCATTGTTGATCGATATAAGCTGTCGTTGATCGATAACTCTAGAGGAGTATCGATCGATATAAAGTATCAGATCGGATTGAAACTGTGTTCACTCTAGAATTTCTATCAGACCGGCTGTCGCATCGTGCCTTAATAGAGTCTGGGTTTAGCCAAATTATTTCAGGAAGATGACTATTAGATTAGTCACTCCATAATCATAACTCTAGGTAGCAAGTCTAGAGTAAGCATTAGGGTTCATTTGGATAATGAATATAACAACTCAACAATCCATAGTTGGGGCTAATCCCTCATAACTATTTGAACCCCAAATCTAACATATGAATCTACTTAGACATAGCTAAGAGATTCATAGCAAAAGAATAAGAAGAAAAGAAAATGCTTTTATTGCTAAGTATAGAATAGAATACAAAACTCAAACCTTGTGTGTCTTTCTAGGGCTCATAGGCATAACTATAAATAGGGAGTACAATTAGGTTAAAAACTCGTCAGGGGCAGTCTTGTAATCTGGTGAGAACTTGGGCTTCAAGTCGGCAAAGTAAGTCTTGCTCATCACGCTCTGTATCGATCGATGGTACATTGTGTACATCGATCGATGGAGTATCTCGAAATCAACTTCTACGGAATCGTCATCGATCGATTACACAAGGTGTGTATCGATCGATATGTGTCTCTCAATGTCGGATCTTCATAGTCAACTTGTAAAACTCCTTTAAGCTCCATAAGGCATCTAAATCATCTCTTTACGACAAAATTTTCCTGAACCTGAAAACATACCTAATAGACTCCAAAACATAGATAATTATAATAATAACATATAGAAAATATGACCAAAAGCGGGTCAAAATCATGGTATATCATCCATGAAATATCAAGTCACCACAATACTTCATCCATGTTTCGTCCACAAAACCTCATCCACAAAATCGTGTACACAGATTTGATTCATCCATAACCGGGTTGTCCACATCTATTTCGTCCACAACTCCTCCATCCATCACTCTTATGTCCACTAGTCTTTTGTACACAGTTCTCCACAATGACCAAGACCAAACCACTTTCACCCACACAAAATAATTCCCTATAGATCTATCTAACTCACTTTGGTATCCTCCAATATCTGAATCACGTCACACATCACATACAATCTACAACTTCATCCATGGAATCTCGTCCAATCTCATCTATAAACCGTTTATTTATATCTAATCTTCATAACTATGTTTTGTAACGGATTTGAATATGTGATTATATGTCTATTAAATACAATTCAATCATATTTATGTATACATGTGGTTGAGTTATTACATTCTCAAAACGCATTTTCTTTGGCTCAAAGTGTTTTTTCTTGAACTAATTGACGAAGACACAAGTTTATTTTAGTATATACTTTAAGTTGCGTACGTTCTCTGCATATGTGATGTATGTTATTACTTGTAAAAAAAATTTGGTTCAAATATATTATTGGTTTTCATAAAACCTTGTCCACAAAATCTCGTCCACAGTATTCCAAAATTTAACTCACTAAACTCATCCACTAGAATTTTTCCGCGAGACCTCATCCATGCAACCTCATCTACAAAAACTCTTCTAAGATTAGAAATCTTGTCCATGAGAATTAGAAATCTTGTCCACGAGAATTAGAAATCTTGTCCACGAGAATTCCATCACCAAATGGTGTCTCCTCGGCCTAGGCAGTTGCCCACGCCTTCTTCTATATATACATGACTCTGGGAACAAAAATATTCATCATAAATTATAAGAAAAACAATGAGAAATATCGTGACTCAGAGAGAAAGAAAGAGAGAGAGGAAGCAATCCAAAAGGGTCGATATTGTGAAGATCACATCACAGCAAGGCTAATATTAATTTTGGAGAGGCAAGGCCATGTGAGATGGATCCCAGAGACAAGGATAAAGAGTTGGACAAGGGCGCCAAGACCCCAGAACGTGCAAGCAAGGTTAGTGACATGACCATCGATGCATTGCCAAGATCATCGGATGATCCGATGTGGTTCATGGCCATGGCCGAGTGTTTATGTCCATCTCTCTTAACTATTTTTTTACTTTACTTCTTCTTCTTCTCTTTTCTATTTTCGGTTTATATAAGTGAGAAATGGTGTCAGAATGTCTTAGTTAAACCCAATTCATGGCCGTGTAAGGCCATACTCGCAAATCAGGACCATGAACCGAAACTGGTATGATCCGTTTGATCACTGCTTGAAGATCGGTTTGGTCTGGGTAACATTTGACATATATGAACACTATTGGGCCTTGAATGGGTTGCTAATGGGCCAAGGCTTAAGCCATCCTAATTGAAAGCATTATGGCCCAATGGGCCGATTCATGCAGATGGTTGGTTGAATGAATAAGTTCCATGGGGAGTTGTTTATGCAGGTACAAGGCAGGCTGTGTACTCAGCCGTGTGGTCACTGTGGGTCATGGGTGGTCTGGTTTGTGGTTTATGTGTCTTGCGGTTGTATTTGGGTTGGTACCAAGTTATGGCTGTGTAATATACATGATATATGATAGAGGTTTAGGTATTAAGTCTTAGGAACCAAAGCATGCTTTGCTAGATCATTGTTAGGCTATCGGTTTATGTCTTAACATTTGTTGATATATGGTTTCAGGAACTGAGGCTGATCTTGATCAAGCCAAGGAGCTATGAAGACTCAGTCAGCAAGAATTTATGTGGTGTTTGGGTAGATCATACTAGGGATGAACTTATGATAGCCTATAGTGCAACTCGATACTTTGTAAACGAATCTCAATTCTTGTATTAATACAAATATATAGATTTACCCTTTGTTTATACTTGTTATTTGAATTTTTTATATACATGTATACAATGAAAATGACTAAATAAAATATACAAGATTTGAAAATGAATCAAATACAATGTATTGGACTAAGTGTGTGTGAGGCCGTGGGTCTAAGTAGGTCTTGAACCTCAGGAACGAACATTACATTACATATTTCTCTTTAGCAATAACTGAGGCCGCGGGTCTAAGTAGGTCTTGAACCTCAGGAACGGACATTACAAAACATATTTCTCTTTAGCAATAACTAAGGCCGTTTATGTCTCAATAAAGCCAGCTGACAGGAAAAAGTGTGTCAAAGTTGCTTTGTGTCTTATAGAGCAAACGAAATTCACAATGTGTCTTTTTAGGTAAGTCTCTCGAATAATATATATTTCTTTTGTGCAAAAAAAAAAAAAAAAAGAGAACAGATTCTATGTTTTCTGAAGTAGTTAGAAATGTTGTAGCCTAATAAACTCAGAAAGTCTTTTGAATTACTGAGATGAATCCAAAATATTTTGCTGTATCAGTAAACCATATGAAGTCTTGGCTCTATAGACTTTTCAAACAGGAGCCTTAACCTTTTTGTCCTCCTAGAGTTCCTTTAAGGTGGCTATGAGGCAGATAGATATCAACGAGTTTCTTTTGCGTCATGTTTCAAGGGACGTAGTCCAAAGGAACTTACCTGGCTATGACTCCGTCTACAATCTTGGTTACAAAACACTTATCAACAAGATCATATATCAGAGTTGGAAAATCAGTATGGTCTATATTCAGTATATTCGGAAAAAAACTAAATCTGACTTTTCTGATCTGAAGAAACACGCAACATTTAGAAATATGTTCCTCTGTTCCCCATAACTAATTTGGCAGCACCTCCTGAATCTTTACCATATGGAACTATCTGCAATCTATATCTCTTACATTTCAGTCAGAGCCTAACAACTCTAGAGCTAAACATCCAGAAATGTTTGGCTTTCTTCTGGCTCAGTCCAAGGTACTATGAATAACATACAGTTAATTTTGATGAGATAAGGATTGCAAACTTCAACTCTTCCATATACAATATTCACCAAGAATACAATGGATCAAGGATGATTGATGATATTGATACATACAAATTAAATACAGTGCCAACAAGAAAGGAGGAGTAAAGTCAAGAAGAAGAAGATACGGTCCTGAAGGAGTCCCGAAGGTGGGTTAATGTGTCTTGGTCACGGTTCCACTCGGGCGCAGGGGCGTTGACGAAATGAGCATAGAGCTTGTTCTTAGCGCAAGTGACGGTTATCAGACTGTGCTTCCCTACTCCATCGATCTCGTACAGATAGTACACCTGTCCTGTCTCTTCATCTTTCTTCTCCTCAGACACCACTTTATCAGCGCTTGCTATCAGATCCTGGAGCTCCACGTCCGACAAGGCCAAGTTGTTGAGGATCACATCCCTCGGCGCCAGCTGTCTAAATCCCGACAAGAACGTCAGGTACTCCTTCTCTGTCCTCTTCTTCGGGTTGTAGAATTCGCTGTCTGTTCCGTTTGTGCCCTTCTCCACCTTCGAAACCAGCCTCTCCTTCCACCCTTCCGGCACGTCGTATACATACTCCGCTGATGTCTTCCTGTCCGAGTTCCCTCCGTAGCCGCCGTAGTTCGCCGCGCTCGCTGCTGTACCGTAGTACAATTTGTAAGCTTGGTTTCCCTCACCAGCAGCAGGCAACGCCGGAACCATCGTAAGGACAGCAGTCGCGGCGACAACGGCAGAAAGAGAGGTGCCTATACATCGAGATACTATCGCCTTGGGGAGGACCGGCGTTTTGGTGGTGGCTGAGGTGGCGGAGATGACGGGAGGAGTTGGAGAGAAGATTTTAGTGGTCATATTATAATTTTAGATTTGGTTTGGATAACGTTACCATACCTTCTTATTGATTTGAAACCCTCCGGTTCTTTCAGCAGCTTTGGTTTACATTCTTCGGATAAGCCCCAAATATTTATCATATTTACATAAATTACATGTATCTCCTCTCTCCTTCATGAACAAAAGGGAGAGGTTTGAAAAGACACATGAACATAAAGATAAGTGAATAAGGCAATGAATTCACTCCTCTGATTAATGTTTTACAGTTAAAATACATATGGCTAAACTGGATATCCGAGGTTGGAAGGTAAGACAAATGGGAAACAAAAGTTCCTAGCTGTTTTCTAGATTACGAATATGACACACTTTGAATACCTTTTATTCTTTACACAAACACATTATGAAAATCTTTATTGATATTTGGAATGCAGATTACACTTGAAATCACAAGGTTACTGGTAGGATACAAGAAGAGAAACGCAGTGATGGTGATGACATGGCAACTAGAAGATCAATTTGGTCATGTAAGCAAAACCCGAAATGTCTCAATAAAAAGACTTCACGTCTGCACTCTGTTTTGGTTTAGTGAATAAGAGAAATAGTCATTCTCGTCTTACCCATTTCATGCATTATTGGAGTTGATACTCCACTTTCCCATTTCGTGTATTGGAGTTAATGACTTCACGTTTCTGTTACTTTTTTAATTGTATTTCGGAAAAATCGCATAAAAAACCTTCAAGGTGACAACCACTTACACTTTAAATCCTAAGAGTATTTTACAAGGACTTTAAACACTCAAGTTGGCAAATTTAGCATATTAAACCTCCAATTTGGCTTACTTGTACATCAAGTCAAAAAGGTAACCAGTACTGTTCAAAAACGATGACGTGTCAGTTTTTTTTTAATATTTTATTAATAATAAATATAAAATACAGAAAATATATAAATTCATTAAAAATCATTTAAAAATCATTTAAAAATCATTAAAAATTCAAAAAAAAATTCAAAAAAATTCATCAAAATTCTTAAAAATTCAAAAAATCATAAAAACCATAAATATTAAAAAATCACAAAATAAATAAAATATTTTATTAATAAAATAGTAAAAATAATAAAACTTAAAAGAAATTATAAAAAAATCCCAATATAAGAAAATTCACAAAAATTTAAATAAAATAAAAATTAAACTTGAATAAAATTAATATAAGAATAATAGATGAAATAAATATAAATTCCAGAATAATAATTTTATTTGTTTTATACAAAATGAGAAAACAATATATTTTTTTTTAAAAAGAATCATTATCTTCAAATGATTCTCGAGAACCAAATCAAAGAAACAAATTAAATTCCAAGTCTTTTAGCACCTAGTCTTTCACCTGGGTAAGTTTTTTTTTTAAATTATATTGTTATTTGTTTTTCGTGTCACTATTATATATTATATATATGTCATCGTATAATTAATCGTATTTGATATGTACCATCAAATGATTCTCGTGAACCAAATCAAAGCAAACAAGTTAAAATCCAAGTCTTTTAGCGGTTATTAAAATACCCTATATTAATCTATTTATAAAATCCAGAAAACCTCGACTAATAAGCAACAAAATGAGAACAAAATGACTTGGAATTTAATTTGTTTGCTTTGATTTGGTTCACGGGAATCATTTGAAGATAATGATTCTTTTTTAAAAAATATATAGTGTTTTCTCTTTTTTTATAAAACAAATAAAATTATTTCTTCTTGAATTAATATTTATTTTATCTATTATTCTTATATTTGTTTTATTTAAATTTCATTTTTATTTTATTTAAAATTTTGTGAATTTTCTTATTTTGGGATTTTTTTTATAATTTTTTAAGTTTTTCTTATTTTTAATATTTTATTAATCAAATATTTTATTTATTTTGTGATTTTTTAATGTTTATGATTTTTCTGATTTTTTTGAATTTTTTATGATTTTTTTGAATTTTTAATGAATTTTTAATGATTTTTAATGAGTTTTATATTTTCTGTATTTTTATATTTATTTATTAGTAAAATATATATTTTTTTATAAAAAAAACAAACCGACACGTCATCGCTTATGAATAGTACCGGTCACATTTTTAACTTGATGTACAAGTAAGCCATATTGGAGGTTTAATATGCTAAATTTGCCAACTTGAGTGTTTAAAGTGCTTGTAAAATACTCTCAAGGTTTAAAGTGTAAGTGGTTGCCACCTTGAAGGTTTTTTATGCGATTTTCCCATTGTATTTCTTTGTTGGAACTGAAATTTTCAGTGTCGATTTTAGTTAATGGTTTCTCATTTCATTTCCTGTATTGGAGTTAATGACTCCATGTTTCTGTTACTTTTTTAATTGTATTTCTTTGTTGGAATCAAAATTTCCACTGTCAATTTTAATTAATGGAAAAAAATAAAAACAAAATTTTTTCTTAAGGATTCAAATCTCTACGAATTTGCGAGCAAATACAAAGATGATCCTATTTCAAATCCGCATATGAGCATTACGATTGTTACAAGAGACTGTAAAAGTTACGGCCGCAAGAGCTGTGAGCGAGTTCTCTAGTTCAGACCACTTAAAGCCTTAAACCTAGTTGAGTTACATCTTGATAAAAAAAATTGCCTAAAATTTCTTTAAGTGCTAAGTTAGTAAGATTTTTTCTGCCATTTTGCTCTTCGCCTAGGTCCCCTTTATATATGCCTCCAAGATTGACCATCTTTCCTTTTCCCTTGTGATACGAGTTTATCATTTTGAGAATATTTTTCCTTATCTTCTCAAAATTCATGTTTATTTTTGGAAACTTCACATTTATCCGTCTTATCTATTTTTCTCTATTTAAGCCAAGAAAATGACATTGCAATCCGGGCTGGTTATCATTCCGATTAATAAGTGGGCTTTCCTCATATTTTAGATCATTTCGGATCGTTTTTTGACTTATGCATTTCACGACTTTTTTTGGAGAAACTGCCAATTTTTCCGATTTACGTTTTTATGTCGTTGTTCTACTTAAATAATGAAAATCAATTCATTTTCTCCGAAAACGATTGTGTTAAGTTAAACATCCTCGAATTAATTTTTTAGCATCTTCCTTGTTTTATTCGTAAAATCTCAACATAATTGAGCTCAATAACTCAGACATGTAAGTCTATCCAAAGGCACACGTTGAAAATATTACCTGGCCCGCATCAAGTTGGTTCTCAAGATTATATCTGCTCGTTTTTTATTTTTTATCCGCATGTATATGTTGCAGCTATCCCTGTCGATCTTCATCATCCTCTTGTGATTTCTCCCCAGTGAGCTGCAAACATTGAAACATCCCATGGTTTTAGCTTATGCCCGACCTGGGAGATTGTCCGAGGTAAGGAAGAGAGAGCTATGTAGAAAAAGGCAAATGATGCAGATAACAGGGTTGTTGGACTGCCAACTGTGTATGCTGCTTTCATCCAGCGACTCTCTGCTTATCCGACTCTTGATGTTCCTACTTTGGTCGCTGGAGCGACCTCCTTGGGTCATCAGCCATTGGTTCGTTCGCCGACATCAGATATAATGCGCCCTAGTACATGGGTCAGGACTTTCTGAACAGTCCAACCGAGGTTCACCCGTCAGACTATACAGATCAGACTAGCCGTGCCGTGTACCGCATGGACCCATGTATGGCCGGAATAGAGCTAAGGCTGGAACCACATCCTAACGACCGATCTGACCATAACACAGACCGTCTTTTCCGTCCAAGTCGCCAAACGAAGTCTAATGGTCATGCTAAAATGGACTTGACTCGAGAGGAATCCGATTCAGACCGTAACTACTCTCTTTTGGCTCGATTGGTCCATACCGCATGTTCCAAAGAACGTACTGATGAACTATCCAGCTAGTTTGATCAGTACTTGAGCTTCGATCATATAAATTCTTTAAGGCAAGGATACTCCAACTATCCGAAGACTTGGCTCACGTTTGGACCAGTCTGGTTTGTGAAGATCACCCGACGAACCAAGCCAATCGGCCCGCGTGTGTCCTTCTCCTTTCCACCAAAGACAAGCTAGGAACCAAGGAGTCTCTTTGACCAGTCCAATTAGGCGACGGGTCTTCTTTACCAGATATGGAACCAAAGAGTTTTTCCTTTAGTGTTTCAAATTTCTTAGTCTTTGTTTCAAATTTCTATGTCTCTTTTTCCCACAAAAACTCTTAATCTTTTTGTACTATAAATATGTACTCTCTTGCAAGGAAATAAAGCATTCAATTTTGTCTTCTTCTTTTTAAGGTTTTTACTCTTCTATCTTTGCTTAGAACATTTCTAGTTTTCTTGGTGTGGTTAGATCTGAGTTAAACACCTCTTTCTTGTTTGTCTTGTGAGTCATATCAAGCAACAGATCGAGTTTGCTTCCTCGTTGGACCTGCGTGTCACAAAAGGCAACAATCAAGCACCCCGAGAATATCAACAGCCTTCCGAAACTGTTGTGCGACCCTTCATTCCATCAGTTCTCCCTTCGGAGTTCATATCAAACCTTACCGGTCGAGTGATCTTATCTTAGGGCATATCAGGATAGTACTTCCTCATCGTGTGGTGTGCAACTTCTTAGTGCTTTTGAGTTTGACCCTAAAGAGTATTAACCCCCTCTCCCCCAAGATGATGACAATGAATCCTTTACTCCTAAGAGGAGACCTGACGTGTCAGAACCAACTTCTTCATGAGTAGATGAATATGTTATATCTTTGAAGCTCCTAGTTATGTTCCTCTTCCAAATGATGTATCGGCCTTTGTCTTTGTCACAACTCTTGATTGGCTGGCAACCCCGTTCTTTGCAAGGAATAAATGTTCATTGAGCTTCGGTCCTATGAAGGTGTCAGCCAATCGAACGCCTTGATACGTTTTTATCCCTATCATTTTACATAATTTTTTGGGTCTTATTTTGGGAATCTTATGTGTTAATTGGATTTTTCTGTTGTATGATTGCGAAGGACGGGCTCAATCTGCATTCAAAAGAGTCTTTAAGGTCAAGGCATGTACTTCCCAAGA